ATTTATTTATTTATTTATGCAGCTGTTTTTTTTTTTTTTGGCTCAACATCTTAGAATAGGTTTCATGGTCAAAACTGGTGTTACTGTGAAGCGGCCCAGCATGTTAAACTGAAGCCACCTGCATCAAACACAGATTCAGCTGGTTTCAGGTTTGGTCTGGCTGTTTTCATTTCATTTTCTTGCTGTTGAAGGCGACATGTTATGCTTTTAAATCCTTCTTTTTCACATTTAAATCCTTCATTTGGGGACTATATCTGCTCCTTGTTACTCCACAAGCCCCTCTTCCACCCATTTTCTGAGGTGTGTTTTAGATCAACTCGTTTTGAGGCTGTCTCTTCAAATCCAAACGAGGTGCTTCACACTAGGAGTGGGCGTATCGATTTAAGTACTCAATACTATCGATACCAGATGGTACTTGGTCGTATCGATTTAAGTACTCAATACTATCGATACCAGATGGTACTTGGTCTCAAATCTCTCTCTCTCTCTCTCTCTCTCTCTCTCTCTCTCTCTCTCTCTCTCTCTCTCTTGGAGGAGAGATGATGAAAACCTTTTTTTAAAGAACTCTTTTGACTTTTTACTGTATTCAACTTTTTTGTAGATAATCCATGGACTTACGGCATAATTCTTCAAGGAAAATTCATACATGTCAAGTTKTACGGATTKTCCATAACTTACACAGACTTCACATCACTTTGCAGGTATATGGATGTATAGAGAAATCTCACAGATTTTTTCAAGTTTATTGGATTTTTTTAGAACCTCGGTTTCAAATAAGAGCCTGTAGGACGTTAAAAAAACAATAACATCAAATGACCATCTTCGAATCTGTTCTGCTGCTAGTAATGAGACTAGTGATAAGTTCTGCACTTYCTCAATCCTTCCTCCTGCATGCTTTGCAGCAGGCGCTGTCATCTTCGCGACCACAAGCCCCGCCCCCCAGTATCGGAATYGGTATCGAAATAAGCGATTCTAGAACAGTTTTTACTTGGTATCGGATCGATACCAAAATTCCCAGTATCGCCCACCCCCCTACTTCACACCCCACCACACTCCAGCTTCCAGACCGGTTCATTCCAATGTGATAGAGGAGTTTACGTCTAAATAGCTGCGCAGAAACATTATTTACAAATTGGTTAAAACATGTAAACAAGGGAAGACTTCTCTATCCAGTTTTACATGTCGGAGCCAGAGTCTGACCCAGAACCAGCGGAGAATGAMGACCAAACTGTAGTTGATAAGTCTAGACCTTATTTTTATTTTAACTGTTGTAAAACTGTGATGCAATAGTTTAGAAAACGTCTAAAGTTTAGAGGAAACTGAACAGGTTAAAAAATATGGCCCAAAGAGAWTAKAAAYATATCCGCAGCASCTGGAGAAAACYAAATTTCATTTTTCTGCACTTCTGGAGCCTCCAAGTGCACAATAAAATGCATTTAATGGATAAAAATGTGGATTTTGCGTGATATGTCCCCTTTAAGGCGCACACACCGTCATTAAAGCACCAGAAATAAGGAAAACCTTGTTTCTTTATAAACTCCTCCTTGGTTATGCCCTTTTTGTCATATTGTTCAGAAATACGAGGAAATATAAATAAAACTATCGACATATTAAGTCCAATAAAAGAAGCTTCCATATTAATAAAGTGGGACATCATGAACCAGTTAATAACCTTTTTATTCAAAGTAATACTTTAAAATTTAAAGACATTGTATATATATAAAAATACTAGAAATAATGTATAAATAATTAAACAGAAGTATTCCTTCTGGAATTCTGAAATTGTTTAGGTTAAGAGCGAGTAAATATGCGGTTTGCTAATCTTTGAACAGGCTAAAGAGAAAAGTAAAGTGTGTGAAACTGTGGAATGAGCTGAATGATCGTTTACTTTGTGAGCTTTCAAAGCGCCTTAAAATGTAAAATTACATGTATGTTCTTTTCTGTAGCCTGCTGATAAATATAAGCATTGGTTTTAGCCTTTAACTTTTTAAGTAAATTATTAGTTTGTAAAATAATGTTTCATTTTATTTCCTTTTTTATTTTTTGTAGTGTTGTAAATTTACCAAAGTAAAACAAATCTGGATACATGAGTTGTTACAGTGAGCTGTTTGCAGATGACAGAAGGTGGAAACTAACCGGATTGTTGTTGTTTTAGGTGGTGGGGGGAGGGAAGAACCCCCTCCCTCCTTCACTGATCTGGACCCGAATAGAAATGAGCCTCATAACTCAAGACTCTAAAACCTGAATGGTTGTGTTGAAAAAAACCTTTTTACAGTTTTTCTCAGTTGCTAAAACACATTTCTTGAAACCATCCATCCRTTTCTCTRAACCGTAAACACAAAACCCAATTTTCARACTACRTTCACAGAACCTCTGACTCTTCCAGCAAAACCAAACTCAAGCCTCAAAATAGTTCAAACTGTGCTCAAAACCGAACAATGCTGTCAAATCAGACCTCGAAGAAATCAAAAGAACAAACACTACAGAGCAGTCATTACACACATCAGGGGGGAAAAAACACAATGAGATCGTGAAGCTTTTGAAATAATCTTTATTGTCCACAAAGGAAAAGGCATTTCCTAAACAAAACACCTGCATAGCACTTGTAGTAAAAAAATAAATAAATAAATAAAACAATATATCTCTAATTTATAGAAAACTTGTATTTCTACTCTTCCACTTCATTTCAAACTCAGGTCCTGTTCAGGATCTCAGCTGTTCTTACAAATGAACTCTTCCAAACAGATCTCCAAGGTTGTTCTTTGGATCTGTTGAAGTCACTCCTCTAGTTTGGGGGTCACAGCACCAAGTGTTCCAGTGACCACTTGGACAGTTGATACTTTGACTCTCCATAACTTCATTTTTKTCATCTTGGTATTCATCCAGCAACTGTAGTCTATATGTTGCTCGAGTGTATGGCCTATAAATAATTCTTATATACTGTATATACTGTTTGTTTTTATCTAAGCGTACAAATGCATTGCACCAACAAAAGTGCATCCAGTTCTTTATAGTATATATTTTTAGAGTATTTGTCTCTGTGATTGTTTCTATTCATAGTAAAGCTTCAATGAACAGTGCTCCTTGTACTGCCTTGTATTGGTTTGGTCACATCATTATTCAGTACACATGTGTGGTATATAGTTGCTGTGTTTCAGTTCAGACAGCAGTGCTTTATTTGTGTCTCATTTTAGCTACCTGTGCTAATCATTGTGGAACCCATGTGAATCAAAGGGGAAAATGTGTTTTAGTGGGTGAAAATAGGTCTGCATGTTGTGTCTAACTGGGTGAAACGTGCCTAGTGTTCTGACAAAAGGGTGGCCGTTTTAAWAAATGGGTTCGGGGAACTGAGCATTTGGTTCAAAGAACAGGGTTTAGTGTTTTAACATCTGAGAAAAACTGTAACTGTCAGCTACACATGTTTTTGGCATTAGCTAAAGGCTCAGCGTTTAACAGGAAGTCCCCTGCTCCACAGGTTTTCAYCTCTCTTTTGACCAAAATGGAAACTTTTCTCTACAGAAGTAAAGTTTGTTTTCAGTTTACTCCCCGGGAAAATATTTGCCTTTATGTGTGCCGCTGTTTTCTGCTCAGCGTGCACTCGTTAACCGRGGCAGTCACAAAGAACCAAAACAAAGTCCCGAGCTGTAAAACTAAAAGATTAACCCRAAGAAATAAAGAGCTGACAAACGCTGAGGAGTTTCTTCAAGCTTTGCTTGTCACAAACATCTAATTTATTTACATATAAAAACCACTTTTTAGAACAAGAAAAAAAAATGCTAAATAACTAAAACGAGCTAAAGCTGAAGTTGTTAAAGCTGAAAGGAACTAAACAGAAGCTAAGAGAAAAATGCAAGCTAAAAGTAGCAAAATGGTGACCAAAACCTTAAAGTGGCAAAAGGCTAGCTACTAACAAATCWTATGTCAAAACATAACCTAAATGTAGCAAAACAGTGGCTAGAAGCTAAGATTAGTTTGACGTTAAAAGTAAAAAAATGGTAAGATGCTAAAGTAGGTAGAGGACAAGCTAAAGGCTAAAAAATATGTAGCAGAAGTCTAGGTAAAGGCTTCAAAAACAAGTAGCAGAGATCTAAATAATGGCTTAAAAAGACAAAGTTAGCTTAAACAGCTGAAGCAGATTTAGAAGAGAATAATGTTCTGATGGAATGGAAGAGATCTTGTATTTATGTGGATCAAAGAGTAGAAACGTTACAAAAACCAAAGCATCTGAGCCGAACATTTTGATGTAAGMATCAGTGTTTAAAGGGCCAATATTATGTGTTTCTCAGGCAAACATTTAAATACTATACCATAATAAAGTATCTATGTCACCTTTAGTTGTTATTAAAATGCTGTTTTTATGTTTAAATAGGAAATAAACTTATCTTCTCATCACTTTCTCTTCTAAACACCTTGAAATTGGCCTCTGTCTCTTTAAGAACCACCTTCCGCTTCTGTCCCGCCCATTTCAGGGGTTCGCGCATGTGCTATGATACAGTTTACTTGGCATCTGAAAATACATTTCCTCAAAGGTATTTTTAATCTGAAAAGAGCTTCACTGAGTGAGAAGTAGTGCTAGTAGCTCAGCAGACAGTTTAAGTTTCACTTTCAGTTTCACCCGTTGTTTGCTTTGTTGCTGCTGAGAGCCTGCAGGAGTCATGGGCGGGGGGTGGGGAGGTGTGCTCTGTGATGAGGAAGCTCGGCTTGGAGATACAGCCCAGGGGCGGAGCTGGTCCCAAAAGGCGGTTCTAGTCCCAACCTGTCGTTTTTGCTCCCCKGCCTGCTGCCTCAGGACGCTACAGGATTACTCAAACATGCATGAATGAGTCAAAGTAAGACTCTGGGCATGTTTTTGATGAGAGGATAACATTATAACATGATATAAAACTCAAAAAAGTTGATTTTACATGATATAACCCCTTTAAAATATCTGCTGAAAACACAGATCGGTTCAGTCATTCTGCTGCATTACCTAAAAATAAATAAATAAATAAAAAGATGTCTTTAAATTTTCTATTCAGTGCGTCGATTTATTAGGTCTGTAGATTTACAAAAATGTACAATTTGTATTAACACTGGAACTCTACACCAACTGAAACTTAACATCTGTGCTCATAACAGGAAGAAGCTGCCTTCTTTCACAGTAAAGAAACTAAATGTTTTCGATACTCTGGAACACTGCTTCATTTTTCACATTTTTAGCATAAAAAAGAAAGAAAAAAGAAAAATCCCCTCCGTCTGGCACAAACATATTGGAGCATTCAATAAATATCTTGTGGTGGAAAAAAAAAGGTGGAATAAAAATAGTCATTTGGTGGGGGAACATCTGTGCGAGCCAGTGAGGGAATAAACAGGATTTCTAAATTAGCAACATCTCTAGAAATGTGACGTACGAACGTGTTTCTATGTTAAATCTGAACGTCTTGTTAGAAATCTTTAAATCAAGTCTGAAAAAGCACTTAGTGATGACTAACTGCTGTCAATATCTCTTTAAGTTCAGCCTCCTGAGCGCAGCTGCACGACTGCACCCCCAACAACGTCAATACTGCTTCGGTTTTATGAGCACATCCATTTCTGCCGACCCGAAGGCGGTTTGGAAGCKTTGTTTTGTTGGCAAAATCACTCTCCCGTAAAAAAAAGGAAAAGAAAAAAAAGTGTCATTACGCTCGAAAGTGTCCCAACAATGAATGAAAGTCCTCGGGTTCTGCCCGCGCTCCGGGCTCATCTCTTTCTGTTCCGGTTGAGTTTCACGGCCTTCTTCCTCTTCAGGATCATCTCGTAGAGTTTCTCCAGGCCCGCCTGCAGCCCCTGGCCGTCCACGGCGCTGCAGCCCTGCACGTGCTGCAGCGTGTACGTGCCGAGTTCGTGCACGGAGAGCAGCTTCTCCACCTCGCCGACGGACAGCGCCGAGTCCAGGTCCTGCTTGTTGGCCAGGACCAGCACGGGCACYCCCTGGTTCTCGGAGGTGCGGCTGATCTTGTGCAGCTCCACCCGGGCCTCCTCCATGCGCTCCAGCTCGGTGGAGTCCACCACGAACACGATGCCGTCCGTGCGCCGGGTGTAGGACTTCCAGAGGGGCCGCAGCTTCTCCTGCCCGCCCACGTCCCACACCTGGTAGTTGACGGCCCGGGACCCCCCCACCGACACCTTAATCTTCTCCGTGTTGAAGCCCTTGGTGGGGATGGTCTTCACAAACTCCTTGAGTTTGAGCCGGTACAGCAGCGAGGTTTTCCCGGCCGAGTCGAGGCCGATGATCACCACGTGCAGGCACTGGAAGCTCGGCAGGAACGGCGTGCTGGGAGCCATGTCCGTCAGCTGGTTCCCCATGATGCCGAGCAGAAATTCACTCCTACAAGACGCCCGGTTTAGTCTGAGTCGATTCGCTGCTGGCTGGAGACTTTTCTAAAAACACACAGAAGAGCCGAGTTAGCCATCAATTTAATGTCACACTTGAAAAGTATTTGATCCAGTCAGAGTGGAAGCATCATTCAGCTGCTAGAACTTAAGGATTTTTGTTGTAAATTATATATTTTTATTTTTTATATTTTCCAGCTTTTAGCTAGCCTTTTGCTAAATTTAGCTTTAACCTTTGCTATATCTTTGAGGTTTAACTTTTTTGAACTTTTGGCTGAGAACTTTTTGTTTAAAGCTAGCCTTTTGCTGAATTTAGATAGCCTTTAGCGACTTAGCTAAACTTTTATTGCTTTTAGTCGGCCTTTTGAAACATTTAGTTAACAAAACTAGCATTTAGCTGATATTTTGGTATTTTTAACTAACCTGTTGCTGTTTTTATTAACTCATGCTTTTAGCTCATCAGCTACTTTTATTTTATATTGTCTTACTGTTRCCGTACTTTTAGCAAGGACGAAGCTTTTTTAAACTTTTAGTTTGAATTTAGCATTTTTAAGCTTTCAGCTGCATTTTTAGCCTTTTTAGCCATATTCTTCGGTCATTTTCAGCAGTCTCAGCTGAGTTCAACATGTAGATTAGAAAAAGATGTGATTTATTCATTTTTTACTGTTTTACTAGATTTTTATAAAAGGTTTTAGCTAGAATTTTGCACATCTTAGCTTTTAGCTCACGTTCTGCTTTTTTTAGCTGTAACAACCCAGTTTCAGCTTCAGTTATTTTCAGCCATCTCAGCGCTCAGAGCTCATTGTTAAGAAAAAGCAGAGCTTTATTTTATTTTTTTACTGTTTTGCTGGATTTTTTTTAAAGCTTTAGCTAGAATTTTGCACGTTTTTAGCTTTTAGCTCATGTTCTGCCTTTTTAGCTGTAACAACCCAGTTTCAGCTTCAGTTATTTTCAACAGAGTCCCTCAGAGTTCACTGTGTAGAAAAAACAGGGATTAAAAAAATTAAGCTTTTGTTTGGACATTTTTGTGTTTTCAAATCTTTTCATTTACTGTTTAATATTTTTGGTGTGCAGCACTTAATTTGTTTTAAAAGTCATTTATAAATAAAGTTGTTGAATCCATGTGAAATAATGACCAGAAGCAGACAACAGTCACTGGGTGTCTGAGGCTGTGATTTGCTCTTTAATCCCCTTTAAGTGGGTTAAAGCAGAAAGGCTTCCCCTCGGGCTGCTTGTTGGTAAATCTGAGCTTCAGGTTCTGCAGCAGCGGCTCTGATCCGGTCCGGTTCTTGTTGACATCCTGACACCATCAAACATCTGCCTCTGCGGACAGCCTACAGCCATCACAGCAGAGTCCTGATGCTGGTTCCGATTCTTTTTATCCGCCTCTCTTTTCTGTACGACACCTCATCATTTAGCTGTTTTATCATACGAAACTTAAAGCGACCTCCCGTAGAATCGATTAGAAACAGATTTAAGCTCTAATAATGAATTAAATGTTAATTCATAATTAAATAAAGTCCTCACCTTTGAAATAATCATCCACAAGCGATATGAACAGCCATGATAGATGACGTTCAGCGACGTTCTGCTCCTCTCCGGACTGACTGAGGATCTACCGAGAAGCTGGAGCCAACACCACCTTCAGCCCGGGTGACGTCACGTCCACCTGGAGGGGAGGGGGGAAGTCTCCGCGCCCCCTGCTGGCAGAGCACTGAACTGCACGGCTTRAAGCCAGCGGCGGTAATGTTTGACTTTTAGCAAAATAGCTCATAAACCAATAGATGGATTTTTTTAAACTTCCAGGAAATAATCATTTAATGTGCATCTACAACTGTTCACCTTTTGGAGTCAATACAATTCAAAATGGCTGCTGCAGCCAACTGAATTAAAAAATGTAAAAAATGTTTATTAGTCAGTCAGTTTTAGACACATCGACCTAAATTTAGTAAAGAGGTAGCCGAGACTGAAAAAATATTTTGAGTGCTAACAATTTGCACAATATTTTTTTTTTTGCCATTTACCTGTTTAAAGATAACTTGGTCTGTCTGTTRGGAAAATACATTGTGAATCACTGCACAGCTCTTAATGAAACATTCGGGAAATTATCATAAATATAAAACTGCAAATGATTAACCATTACAGTCAAAGCAATTCAACATGGTCACTGGCAAGCTGAGCTTTTGAAACACAAAAAAATGGCTACAGCTGTTTGTTTTACAGATATAATGCTAGAATTTGTTGTAGTGGCAGTGAGGAATCACTCACAACACATTAACAAAACATAAATCACATAAATACAACAAAATAGCTATGCTATTTGTTAACCTAAGACTAAAACTCCTACTACAGAGTGTAAGCTGATATTTGGGTGATTTARCCAATAAAAGACTAGGTCATATTTGTAAATGAGAAATGGTTCTCAAACAGTTTACCTGGATAAATAAAGGTTAAATAAACAAAAAAATAAAAAAGTATATATGTATGCATATAAGAACATTTATCTTTAAAATATGCACTAAATAGACTAAAATAGCCAATATTTATACATCTATGGAGCAAATTATATTCGATGTCCTTCTGCAGTGAAACTTTGGCGCCACCTTGTGGTCAATTTATGTAAGAACAAGTAGAAAAATTGCCTATGAAAGCAATTTTAACCATGTTTTTAAATAAATAATATGTGTGAAAATGTACATTTCTAGGTGATCTTTAAAAATGAGGTGAGGCTACAAGGGTAAAAGCAAAAATAAATAAATAAAAACAATGTCTAACACAAAGTTTTAAACATCTGTTTAATAAAGTGCAGACACGATTACCAGAGGTCAACTCTTTCACACAAAATAGAAGCTTTCAAAACATACAGTAAAACTGATATAAAACAGTTTTATTAGAGCTCATTACCCACAATATATTTACACATAACTGTAAAAATGTGAGCAAATATTTATATTTAATTAATAGTTGTATTTAAAGCAACCATAGTTTTAATTTAAACCATGTAGTGATTTATAATTATTTAACCTGTTAACACTATTTTAACAGTACATAATGCCACATTGTACTGGTATTGTTTTAAAAGTAAATGGTAAAAGGACTGAACTTATATATAGCCCTTTATCAAGACCACATGGACCCCAAAGTGCTTTTAACTTACAATCATTCACCCATTCACACACTGATGGTGAGGAATGTAGCCACAGCTGCCCTGGGGCACACTGCCAAAAAGGGGCAACAGATCAAATTTATCAAATATCAACAGACTGAACTTTATCTCATGTGAAATTAAACTACTTGATTTATCCAACCCAATTGTTCTGAACTGGGCGAGATGTAATAACAGAAGGATTTTTGTTTACACAGGAAAGATGGGTGCAGGTCAGAGGTCGTAAAAGAACAGGTGTCTTTCTGCCACCGTCAGTTCAAAGGATGCGGAGTGGTCGAGTTGTTTCCGCAGTCCAGGTACGCGAAGGTTTCCCGCGTGATCTGCTCCGTGTGAGAAAGGTAGGAAATATTCATGGTCATCCTGGATGGAGGAAAAAACACAAATAAATACACATATAATGATATTWTTAGCTCAGTCGATGCTTTTATTTKAATAAAATTCCATCTTGTGATGTCACTTGTGCAGAAAATAGCATATGTTTTGTTTGCAAAACTCACAGAAACACATAAAATAGCCGAAACAACACTGAAAAATGTTGCATTTTGACAACTATTATAACTTTAATCAGGACATTTTGTGCAAAATTCACTTTTTTAGCTGTTAAATGTATTTAGTTTTGGACTTGGAGTCTCTAGAAGTGCAGAAAATGGGTCATTATTCAGTTTTCTCTATTTTCTATCAAACTAGAATGAACCAGTCTGGAAGGGTGTGAAGCATCTCGATGGGATTTAAAGAGACAGCTTCAAAACGAGTCGATCTAAAWCTCAGAAAAGGGGTGAAAGAKGGGCTTGTGGAGTTACAAYAATGAGCAGTTCCTCTTTATATAAACCCCAACTGAAGGGTTTAAAAGCATCATGTCTCCTTTAAGGTAACATTTTTGTGTTTACATGAATCCTGAGGTTAAAGCTGTCGTTCAAATTTATGAAGAGTCCCAGCTGCCAGAAAACACGAGTCTTTTTTAAGCTACAGCTCAAAACAGAAATGAAAGCCGTAACACCAAGTGATGCTGTGGATAAACGTCCACACCAGATTCCCCTTTGTGTCACCTAAAGAGAATATTTTAGTTGTATAAAAAAAGAAAAAAGAAACAAAAAATGCCTTTATGTGGCTGTGGTTAGTAGTCTGCTTTTAATGTTGCGGCTTTGAGATAAGCCGCCGTGTTTCCATTTTCACTCTGAGAGCAACACTTACTGCAGCTGCAGAAACAACGTGTGAATCTTGGCACTGGTTGATTTGCAGTAAGTGCTGAAAGACATAAAAAAAACGATGCTCAGAGACGTCTGCTGAATCACACATTTCTCCAGGTGTTCCAGCAGTTTCTTACTTTAAGCCAGTGTCTTTGATGTCCAAGTCGATTTCAACGGTGTACTGCAAAAAACACCTGCGTGTCAGAAACCCGCCGGGTGATTTAGAAATATGYGTGACTCTGCRTTAAGCTCACCGACTGCTGGGCTCKGGACCGTATGGTGGTCATGTTGGTCACCTTCGTGTTGCCCACCACCGTTTTCATAATAAGCCCCTGCATGGTGAAGTCAGAGATCTGAACTGGGACAAAGTTCTCGTTGGTGATGTTGATGAGATTCTAAAAGAGAAAACAAGCAAAAAAAAAAACATAATTAAAAAAGTCCCGGGGTGGGGGGAAGGAACTTTGACCGTCATATACCGGCTGAGGTCATGTGAAAAGCCTCTCGCAGGTTTCTGCACACAAAACTAAAGCTGAGTGTAAAACTGGAGTTGCGCAACACGTCCGTGCCACGGCGCGAGGAGCAGAGGCTTTAATATCAACGCTGAAGCKCTCGAATCGGTCGCCGTTTCCTCTCAGATGTCGGGTCCTTCCCATGAGGTCAGAACTTACAAAAAATATATATATATTTTCTGACATGAGAAACGGAGCAGGTTTACAGCCGAGGTCAGGGTGTGAATGTCACATGAAATGTTGCACTTTTATTGTTTCATTCTGAACCCTGAGCAGAGTGATTGTGCAACAAACATTTCGGTGATTTTTCTTTAATCAATGTGTGCAAACAGGTCGCAGGACAAGGGAGTCAGAGAAAACCCACAATAAATCCACTGCAAAAATTGTCCATCTTACCAAGTTTAACAAACTTATATCCAGATAAAAAGTATTTTTGATCTTGTTTTGAGGCAGAGACACAACAGCAATTCTAATAAAGTTGGGACGTTGTGTAAAACCTCAATAAAAACAGAATACGAGGATTTGCGAAAGCTTTTCAACCTATATTCAACTAGAAGCACTCGGAGAGTGCAAACCTCCGCCAAGACCAATTTCCCTCATCCTGTAAGAGTTAATGCGCAAAAGCAGAGATGGAAACACATTATAAGTTGTGACATAGTGAACATTTAAGCAGGCAGTATGCAGGGATTTCTTCTCGATGGAGTCCAATGTGGAAAAAAAAGTCAGACTCGTCACCCGACGTTCTTCATCGTCAAACTGGTGTGGGATTAAGC